ACGACAGGTTTAAGGCCCAAGGGACTGAAATTGGGGGGGGGGTGTCGGGTACCCTAGTGCAGGGAAAGGATACTATACATTGGATGGAGGATGCTGTATGGGGTCAGTAGTGACATGTTATTGGAATTGTGATGCACTTACAGAAATATAGGAGGGAGGATCAGGAGTACAAACATCTACTGATCCGGGGGGGGCTTCAATACGATCTGTACAGTGATTAGGAAGCACAATCAGGTGACCTTCAATAAAGAGTATACAGAGGTAACTAGTGCAGTATACAGGAGCTGTACAGGGGTACTGGGGAGCAGGAATCATGAGTATATAGACACAGTAGGGGGACATAATAGTGTATGGGGGCAGTTAGTATGGCAATAGGAGGACACAATACAGGTGATATACAGGTATAATAGGAGGACACAATACAGGTATAATAGGACACAATACAGGTATAATAGGAGGACACAATACAGGTGATATACAGGTATAATAGGAGGACACAATACAGGTGATATACAGGTACAACAGGAAGAAGTGATTTAAGGTATAGTCGATACCTATAATAAAGAGTATATGAGGGTAACTAGTGCAGGGATAGGACAGCATACAGTAATGGGGGTAGGGGTGTACTGGGGAGCAGGAATCATGAGTATATAGACACAGTAGGGGGACATAATAGTGTATGGGGGCAGTTAGTATGGCAATAGGAGGACACAATACAGGTGATATACAGGTATAATAGGAGGACACAATACAGGTATAATAGGACACAATACAGGTATAATAGGAGGACACAATACAGGTGATATACAGGTATAATAGGAGGACACAATACAGGTATAATAGGAGGACACAATACAGGTATAATAGGAGGACACAATACAGGTATAATAGGAGGACACAATACAGGTGATATACAGGTATAATAGGAGGACACAATACAGGTGATATACAGGTACAACAGGAAGAAGTGATTTAAGGTATAGTCGATACCTATAATAAAGAGTATATGAGGGTAACTAGTGCAGGGATAGGACAGCATACAGTAATGGGGGTAGGGGGGAAATCAAGGGTATTGTATGGGGGGAGTTTAGTATACAAATATAACAGAGTGTATGGGGGTAAGTATTGCAGCAGTAGGATCGTATATAGGAGTTGTATAGAAATGGGGTGGGGGGTCAGTAGTATAAAGACATCATAAAGAGTGTATGGAGGCAAGTATTAAAGCATTAGGATGGCACACAGGAGTTGTAGGAATGGGGGGTGAGTAGTATACAAATATAATGAAGTGAGTATGGGGGTAAGTATTGCAGCAACAGGACAGTATACAGAAATTGGGGGTCAGAAGTATAATATATAATGAAGTGTGTATGTATTGCAGCAGTAGGAGTTGTAGGAATAGGGGGTCAGTAGTATAAAATAAAATG